CCTTTCCATGGGGGTATATTTTCAAAATGACTGCTTTGAATTTTTTTCAAAACAGTTTTGAATGTAAACAGATATTAAACCATAAAAAGTATTTTACTATGTACTTAGTAAAACCCAAGATCATTAAAAGTGAATTTTAAAAAAATGTCTATTAAATGGTCACTGTTTATGCTGTTTGTATACTGTTCACATTCATTCAGTCCAACCTGACTAATTAAAAACAGCTAATTCAAACAGAATTTCTGGTTCTTAGAGCACTAACTTTATGATGCAATGTCTTGGTTGCAAATATTGCCTAAGAATATTTACCTTTGGACAAATAAATTGCACTCTTTTCTTAATTAAATATTTCTGTTAAACTTAGGGTTTCTAAAACCTTGTGTGTTTCAGTCCTAAACTTGGGACTATACCAGCGATGATGAGCAGGCCACATGAGTGCCCCTTCATCTCAGTGGGCCGCAAGATTGTTGTAACCAAAATGATCTCGCAGGATACAATAATTTTGCTACCTAGAATTTACAGGGTGTCAGGTTTGAACCATAGCAGCACTTTGATTGGATGCAGGAGGAGTTCACAGCTCTCACAGTCAGTATTGTGTTCAATCAGCACAAACCACACTTCACGTGCCCTTGCTTTAAGTGCATGTCACTTTAGTAATACCAGTAGGAAAACACACCTATATAGATGGAAACCAGAAGAATCTGGCAACTTTTGCACATGGACCACAAAACAAAACATCTCACAGGACACACACAAAATTCTGGTGAGCTGCATGTGACGCACAGGTTGCAACTTGCCCACCCACCACTGGTCCAAATTGTCCCAACAGTGTTCCTTTAATGTTCACTGGCCACATTTATGATTTATCCTCTGTAAAGGAAAGTAAGCAGATAATTCTTACATGTTGTAAGCAGATAATTCTTACATGTTCTTTACAAGCTACAAATTGCAAGGAATGTTCTGTGTTCCTCGAAATAACTATTTGGTCATTGTCATTTTCAAGTTAAATTGGGTCTAAAAATTTGACCTAGCAAAAAATTGCTTTTACAGAAATTGAGACTAGGTAACTATTTCTGTATTTTTAATTCCAATAAACATTTAAAAATACAGCATTTCACCATTAAGAACTTGAAAATGAAACAGAATATAAACAGTTGTGAAAATGATTACTAAGATTATTGTACAAGCTAAGAGAAATGCAAAAGCACATAGTGACAAGTCAACTGGATTTTTAAAATTATTTGACTTTTAATAAGAAAAGGCAACATTTCTTCTTTCCATAGATAACATATGACTTTTAAACAGATAGCATTGAAAACGAATCCTTCACTTATTGCTTGCTACTTCAAGAATCAGACTAGTAATTTATATTTAAAGTTTGACTCAGAAAATTTAGAGGTCTGATTCTGGAATACAGAAGTCAATGGGACCTTTGCAATTGGCTTCAACTGGCACAGGCTCAGGCCCTAGAATACGTTGTTGCTCATTCTCCTCTCCTCATCCCATCTCTCTATCCACTTCGCTAATATTCATTTATTTATATTTATATTACATACTTTCTGTGTTAATGGTTTATACAGCTTTTCAAGTGATTTGGCAAAAATGCCTTTATTAAATGTGTTTTGGATATTTTAATAAATAGTGTTAATATAGAGAATGTTATTTTTTTCTTAAATACAATTTATTGTTACATCTAATTTTAACTACTTTTTCTAGTCAAAACTTCCAGAAAGGGTCAAACTTACAGTCTGATCCTGCTCCCACTGAAATCACCTCTAGTATTGCCATTGATTTCAATAAAAGGAGGATTGGAACTTTCATGTTTTTTATTTGCTCCTGTTTAGTAACTTTTCAAAATACACATTTTACACAATCAGCAAGCAGTTACAATCAGAATATTAGAATGAATCAAGGCTTCAAAGCCACCATTCCAATACATGCTCCAAAAGAGTGACTATTAGCTTCTTTCCCTCTTGTACCTTATCTTTTACTATTCACTTTGATGTGCGTCCTTCAGAAAATGAACAGTACAGATATCAATATTGCATGAATCTAATTTTCTAAAGTTATGGTGTTGCTAGAAAGAAATCATACACTTCAAATTTCATGGGTAGAAAAGAGCAGAAAATTAAAAAAAAACAGGAGCTCTTCTGAGGCTGAGCTACATTATAAGGAAAATTGCTATACTTTGTCATCACTGGAGGCATGATCTCATTTCTGATCCATAGCCTCTCAAAATAAAACAAAAGAACAAAATATTTCCTGATGCCTGAAATAACTGAAAAACAGCTGCTGAATTTTGCACAGTAGTGGGTCTTGACTGCACATTATGCAAGCCAGTCATTTAACTACTATATAGTTATAGTCACAGAAAACATGCTTTGACAACATTTACTTCCTTGCCAGTCAGACAGTAGTAAAAGATACCACTTCATTTTTATTTTCATGTTCAGTTTAATCATTTGTGCAAGTGAGTAACTTTACTAAAATGACTATAGCTACTCAACTCTGTAAGCAACTGCAGAATTGAGCATTTAGCTTGCAAGTGGAAATCATTCCACTTTGATTTGTTGTTTTATATACATTCGTTTGTTGAAAAGAATCTATGGTTTTTTGCTAAGATACTAAAAAAAGTACCACCTACATCTGAAAATCATTCAAGACTTTCAGAAATTGCATTTTATTTTAAATGCTAGCTTACATAGTTGAGTATAAAACACCTAGTTGTGTAAGTCTATGGTTATGATTGCATAATCTAATACAGAAATTCTATTTGCAAAAATGGGAGGCTTAACAATTAAAACTCTGCGTAACACCTCCTCAGACAGAGGACTATTGTAATAGCATAATCTCTGTATTCCCTTGGTTTTGAGGCAGATGCTGCCTTCTGCTTCATGAAACAGGAAGCTATAAGGAGATTTTGTGTTGCCGTCACCAGGAACAAAACCAAATCTATAAAGCAATTAATTCAAAAACCCATAGATATGCACAAAGGTGAAAAAGCAGCAGAAGACCACTCCATGACAGAAAGATCCCTTCATACTGTTTTTTTTATGCTCTTGCCTGCTTAATCTGAAAAGAGAGAGACACAAATTGTGCCATAGAGCCCAGTTCTTCAAGCACTGACTTAAATGAAGAATTCAAGTGTAGTGCAGGTTTACAGAATTGGACCCACAATAATTTGTTATACTCCATGTACTTCTACCAAAAGGCAAATAAATCTGTTCCCATTTCTCACATCCTATTGAGATTTATTTTCCTTTTGCTCCATGCACAAGTCTGGCTTTTAAAAAGATATTTAAAAAGGCATGTGAATGGAAAAGCTTTGTCCTTGAAGGCCCATGTTCTGCTGTCCCTGTCATCCACAAATGCAGAAGTCAGATCAGAATTTAAGAGAAGCAGATCATGTAGTTGTAAAACTTGCTTTTCTGTGTGTGTGTGTGTGCCCGCAATGGAGTAACACCTTTCATTACAATTAACAGCTCAATGTCAGAAAGCTCCCCAGCCTGCTGTGCATATTTTCACAGGTTCATCTGTCTCCTCCTATAGCATCAGTTTTGCAAGGTCCTTTTTGAAAGACTCACCATTAACAACCATGCCTATTTCAAACCTACACAGTCAAACACAATACATAAGACGAATAACTGATCTTTAGATTCCAGTCCACAGACCTTTCCACACTGGGAATATGTCCCTTATGTGTTCCCTTTATGTTCTAGTCCTTTACAAAGCATAGATCTGGAAATTGCCCCTGCCCAGCAAAAACCACGATGTACATGGCTTTCCTCTCTCTCTCTCTCTGACAGGACAAATAGCCCCAAAATCACTGGGAGCCTTCTCCTTATGTTGCCTCTTCATATTGCCTCTTTTTTTCTTTTCTTGCATTAGAAACTAACTTCTTGGCAGTTGATTCCACATTTACAAACCTCCTGCTGGGAACAGTCAGTTTCAGACGCAGAATGGCAGAATCCTTCCTGCTCTGGCACCAGAACGTAAGACATGACCCAAGCTGCTCTAGAGAGGGATGCTCAGGGCTTCAACTAGCTCCCCTGTCCCAGCACGATGGAGGGAACGAGACAAAAGGAATGGGGGGGGGGGAGATAAAACAGGAAGAGACGGCCATGGGTCTCTCCCTGCTGACCTCTCCTAGGCATCTCAACACCAAAAGTGGCCTGTCCCCCACGCTTCCCTTGTGGCCCCTAACCACTCAGTGCTCCCTCCGCC